AGGCAGCATGAGCGGCCAGGAGGAATGCTTGCTTCATTGCTGCGGTGACAAGGCAAGCATTCCACCCTGGCCGCGGAGGGCCTCTGGGCAGCGGGCACGGAGCTGCCAGGCCCTGTAGAGGACTACTAGCACACTGATTCATGCGTATGGCTACTAGTCTTATATATTTTTGCTTACTTTATGAAAAGAGAAAACTGCAAGGTTAAATAACTTACCCAAGTTCACACAGTTAGTGGTGGAATTAAAAAAGAGCCAAGCCCAGGTTTGACTCCAAAGCTTAGACTTCCTACTCTCGCCTGCTTTCCAGTCTGCCCTAATCAAACCTCACCCGCTCTATTGTATTTGTTTTTTCTCTTAGTGGACGAGTGTTCCTCTGACTACACAATTGTCCTTCCCGTGATTGGGGCCATCGTGCTGGGTCTCTGCGCTGTGGGTTTGATTGTCTATGGAATCCGCCTAAGGCGTGAATCATCTGGATACCAGAGAATCTAATGGGTGCCCAGGGGAAAGAAAAGAATGGAGCTTAGAGAATTCTTTCGTCGTTTCCAGGGTATTGGGGGCTTCCCTTAGAGTGTGGGTCCTTCCAGCAATGTCAACCACCTCTCACAAAAACTAAGTCATTTCTGATTTAACTTCAAGCAGCACATCAATTTCTAAGATTTTTTTTTTCATTTTATGTAAGAGCTAGTGAACTGTTTAAGAGTATTCCCTAGTTTCCTTCCAAACATTTTAACCATTCAAGGTCAACATTTGAGATATATTAAATTAACATGACTTAAGTAAAGTGGTATATGCCTCCAATTTACCAAAGCATCAAGTGTAATGAATGCTACCTGTGTTCACATTAGGGATTTTATTCTAGCCTTGATTTTTTCCATTTAAAAAAAAATGCCTCTTTTTGTCTATAAAAATGGAACCACAATATTTTACTGCTTATGTTTTATATGACAAACATGCTTGGCAATCTACTAAATCCTTTCCACTTTAAAAGGCCTATCAAAAAGAACATTTTACAGGTAGCCTAGGTTGTTTATCTGACACCAGCAGAGGAACAAATCAGCTTTACTTTTTATCTGGACGACTTCTGTTCCACAATCACTAAAGACTAAGAATTAGATAGCTATGAACAACAAAATAAAATAACAAGCAAGAAATAGTAATAATGACCCTTGATTATTGAGCATATATGTGCCAGACACTAGGTACACATAATTTAATTTATGTAATTTACATCGCTTAATTCTCATGGTTCCTAGAACAGTAAACTCAGATTGAACAAAATTAAATACTTAAATGCCACCCAGCTGACAGGTGGCAGAGCCAGGATTAGACTTCCCATTAGTAACAAGGTCTCCGGTGTTTTCACTACACCAAGTTGCCTACAGGAACAAATTATACTCAGTGCTGCCTGGGGGGGCTCTGTCACATCAGTCAGCTTCTTGTTTTAATGGGATTGTTTAGCTGTGGCTCTACAAATAAAGAAATAGAGTAAAGTCAAGGTATTTTTTTTATTTCTTTGAAAACGGCAATTTTCTAACGGCTAACCAACTTTTCTTTCTTGAATGTAGATCCCCCTCTAGTGGTAACTTGCTACTTCTGCACTTTCATAGCCACATTATCTATTCTAGTTCACTTTATTCTGTAGAGTAGCCTGCCCCACCCCAAAAAATAATAATAATAATAATTTTCATGCTTGTTTTTATTGCTAAAGAAAGGAACTAAGTCAGGACATTAACATAAAGATAACATGCCTCTAGCATTCTTTAGTAAAAGAATGATTCAAGTCACCCAAGACTTGTCAAGAGTATTGGCAAGGTCCTGATTTTAGTCTTAATAGAATATAGAATTGTATTAAATGTTGTTTTTTAATAAAAACATATTTTGGAGAATCACTTATTTCTTCTAATTCAGTTTTTCAGTCTTTGTTGTATAAATATTTTCGTTTACAATCTTAGTGGTTGGCCTTGAATATGGAGGCTGTAACTTGAGTTAATAGGTTAAGACATCTTTCTATAAATAATTTATTTTGTTCTATTCTTCATTGCCACATTATTACCAGGTAGGAAGACCCATTTGAGATAAACTTAATTTCTGAGAAGATACACCACGTTAAAGTTACAAATTAAATCTCTCAATTCAATCCAGACTACCTGATTGGATTACTGTTTTACTTAAAGGCTCTCATAATTCATTCATTCATTCATTTATTCAATCAACATTGATTAAGGACTTACTAAATGCCAGACACCCTGGTAGGGGCTGAGATATATAAGATGTCCTGTATTAGTTATCTATAGCTGTGTGACACATTACCCCCAAACTTAGCAGTTTAAGACAACAAACATTTATTATCTCACAGAGTTTCTGAGGGTCAGAAATCTAGAAGCAGCTTAACTGGGAGGTTCTGGCTTATGATCTCTCACTGAGTGGCCAGAGCTGCAATCATCTGAAGGTTCAATTGGGGCCAAAGGATTTGCTTCCAAGTTTACACCATGTGGCATATCTATAGGGAGGCTCACAACATGACAGCTCACAACATGGCTTTCCCCAGAGTGAATGATCCAAAAAGGAGACTGACAACCTAATCACAGGAGTGACATACCAACACTCTGTTGTACTCTATTGGTCACACAGAGCACCCCTGGTACAGTGTGGGAGGGGACTACACAGGGTGTGAATGCCAGGAGAGGCGGAAATGGAGGAGCGCCATCTCGGATGCTGACTATCCCAGGGCAATTGTCCAGGTACATACTGTGGAATTAGTGGCTTACATTTTTGGGAAACTCAGGTAAATAAATTCTAGTATGCACACGAAGAACAATGACTTAATAAGAGTCTATACAAAGGGTGATAAGAGCAGGTTGCTCTCTAGCCTGCTTCCAACTCTGCCCCCGGTGTAGCACCTGCCTAGGAGAGCACCCTCTCAATCCCTGGTGCTGACAGTCCATTGACCAGCCACGGTTCGGGCTGACTTGACTTTCCATGGGGCTGATCATTGTCCCATTGCTCTACAACACTCACTTATAGCTGTTCCTCAGGATTTATTCACTTTCCTGTCTTCCATCATGGTATAATCCAAAGAGACCTGGTCCGTACAGACATCCCATGGGACATCAGACTGAACCACTACATTGATCACGTCATGCTTATTAGATAAGATAAGCACAAAGCCGTCAGTATGCTGGAGACACATGTTCCAGGAGGTAGGACACAAACCCTATCAAGATTCAGGCACTGACTACTTCCGTGAAGTTTTTAGTGACCCAGGGTTTCAGGGGCATGCCAGAATGTCTACTTCAAAAGAAAGACACATGTTTTGCATCTTGCATCCTTTCCACAAAGAAGGCAGCACAAAGCTGTGCAGCGCCAGCATGGCCAAGGGTGAACCTGAGTGTGGGCAGCTGAAAAAAGACAGACAAGAGAATGAAAGCTGGGTCTTGGTGGTACGCTGCTCCTCTGATGGAGAGACAGCACCAGTGCCCACAAGCCGTGTCTTTATTTTATAGCAGATGCCACGAGGCAAAGTAAGGGTGTGATCAAGATGTTTACAACATTCTCGTGGGCTTCGATCCTACTCAACTACATGCACCTGAATTCTATCAAGCCTACATCACTCAGACACGTGGGGTCACGTGTTCCAAACATAGGTTCAAGCTTACAACTATAGCTGTTGGCTATAATTGTGCTGGGAGGGCCCTGCCCTCCAAGCTGGGACTTGCACGTGGCAATGAGAGGCCTGTGCCCTCTTCTCAGTCCAAGGCTTGAACCTGTCCAAACACTGTAGTGGCTCCCCACACAAAGGCAGGCAGGCCTCTCCAGGTTCTGGAGGCAGCATTCCACAGCTAGGAGAATCCCTCTGGCCCGTTTACTAGGCCACATAGTGTACTGGGCTACATATCTGGCACTGCAGACAGACAGGGCGCGCTGTGCTGTCTGTTCCTAAAACACATAGATAGCAAGGTACTGACATCAGGCCAGGCCTTGAGATATGGTCTCATGGCCCCTTCTCAATATGCTGCACTCTCTGTTCCTAAAACACATAGATAGGAAGGTACTGATACTATACTGTGTCGGGAACTAAGGTTTTGTAACTTTGTGGTTTTTGCAAATAAAAATACTGTAATTCCTGTAGTTTGGGCTGCAGTTCAGCCTTTGCTTTGGCGGGGTGCTGTGACTGTAGTCAGCTGGCCAGCTTAATAAAGGCTCTTAAATTTAAATTCTGAGTTGGTGGTCTATCTCGCTGAGTGAACCCATAACAATAGAAAGCTACCAGTTCTGAGAGGGGCCAGAGCAGAGAAGGGTGGCAAAGCAACTCCAGGCCTGCCATCAGGTATTGCAATCAGCCCTGCTCCTTAAGTCATCCGTCAGGCAGACCTTATGGTGTTAGAGGTGGCAGTGGTGGGGAAAGGTACAGTATGGAATTTTTGACACAAACCAGTGGGAGAATCATTGCACAGACCCTGAGCATTCTGGAGCAAGATCAAGCCTATGCCATTTGCAGCAGAGAAACAGCTGTTGGCATGTCACTGGGTCCTGGAACACTTGACCTTGTGACTATATATCCAGAATTGGCCCCATTTGGGCTGGGTTATGTCTAATCCACTCGGTAATAAAGTCAGACGGGTCTCAGCCGTAGCCAATTATAATCTGGAAATGGTACATCCAAGTTCTAGCCCGAGCAGGTCTAGAGGGCATGAGTAGGCTTCGTGAGCAGGTAGCCCAGGCCCTCGTCACCCACCAGTGTAGCACCAGTGCCCCTGTGGGGGGAGGGGACGCATGCCACCTTTTGAAAAAAGAGGAAAGCCCAAACTGGTTTACAGATCAGTTGGCTTGGTGTGTGGGTGCAAAGCAAATCCAGACAGTGGCTGCATTACAGCCACCTTCAGAAGTGAACCCGAAAGACAGGGAGGGGAATCTTCACAGTGGGCTCAACAGCAAAGCAGGGCACTGGCCATCCAAATCTGTGTGGAAGGGAAGGTGGCCCAGGGTGAGAATATGCCCGGTGTCCTGGACAGTGCCATGGTCTGGCCATCTGGTTAGGGGCCTGGGAAGAACAGGACTGGACGATCAGAGACAAGGAGCTTTGGGATAGAGGCATGTGGATGGACTCATCAGAGTAGGCATAGCGTGTGAACAGTTTTGCTTCACATGTTAATGTCTACCAGAAAGCATCCACCATGAAAGGGTCACTGAGCGACCAAGTCAACAAGATGACTCAGCGGTGAAGTTAGCCAGTCTTTGTCACAGACACATCAGGATTTGCAAAATGGGCACGTGAATGGGGTGGGCATGGTGGCAGGGGCAGAGGCTCTATATGGACTCAACAGCAGGGAATGCCACTTACCAAGGCCAGTCTAGCCATTGCAAATTAAAACCACAATGGGATACCACTCCACAACCTCCAAAATGGCTAAAATGAAAAAGATTGGCAATACCAAGTGCTGATGAGGAATTGCCATTCATTGCTGGTAGAAGAATAAAATGATACAACCATTTTAGGAAAACTTTTTGGCAGTTTCTTATAAACTTAAACACGTAACAATCCAGGGGTTGGCAAACTCTGTAAGAGCAAGATAGTAAATAGTTGAGGTTTTGTGAGCCAGGTTCTCTGCAACCACAGGACTCGGCTACTGTAACATGAAAGCAGCCATAGACAATACATAAACAAATGGGCATGGCTGTATTCCACTAGACATCATTTACAAAAAACAGTGGCAGGACCACAAGACATAGTTTGCGGAGCTATTAATTTGACAAGTAGGTGTATATGCATGAAAAATGAGTGCATATGTTCACAGAAAGAGGTGAGGGAAAAAATACCTATAACAGCTTCATTCGTATTCACCCCAAACTGGAAACAATCCAAAGTCTATCCTTAGGATCCTGGGTAAACAAATTGTGCTATTTTCATGTAAAAAAAACTACATAAAACATGAATGAAATTTAAAGACATTATGTTGAGTGATGGAGGTTCACTGTGAAAGTACACATTCTGTGTATCAGTTCTTATCTTTTGCTGCATAACAAATTGCTCCAAAACGTAATTATTTAAGACACACACACACACCCCGGGGTGGGCAAAAGTAGGTTGACAGCTGTGATGCCATGCTTTTGAGTTAATAAAACGATTGTAATGATCATAACCTGCTGCAAAGCGTATACGCCCGGACTCCGGGCTGGTTGCCCTTGTTGGCTGCAGCCAAGGACGCCCTCCCTGCCACCTGGTGAGACGCGCAGCTCTAACTGGACCCGCCTCTCACCCTCGGCGGCCTCCCACGCCAAGGTCGCCAGCAGGAGCCGGGCGG